AGATCAAACTGAAAAGGTTTTGCATAGAAATATGGATAGTCAGCAGATTAAAGAGACAACCTAGAAAATGGGAGATGACATTGACAAGTTAAACATCTGACAAGTGGATGATGTTTAGATACAAAAGTAACTCAGACAATTCAATCCTCCAATAACCAGTTTTTAAAGTAGGAAGACTAGAGGCTGGAAAGATAGCTCATCTGTTAAGAGCATTGGTTGTTGTTGCAGAAGACCCAGGTTCAAATTCCAGCATCCACGTGGCAGCCAACATCTGTCCTTAACTCCAGTTCCAGGGGATCTGACACCCTCTTCTGAACTCCACAGGCATTGCACAACACAGGTGCACTTACAAACGTAGTCAGTGAACTCATGCACATAAGAAATAAAAACAACAAATGAAAATAAGTAAAATTCCACTCTGTTACTATAGAAAGTGATAGACTTCATTATGACATTTTCGTACATGCAGACTATTGTACTTTGCTCCTTTTCACATCTTCACCATTATCCTCCCTGGTGCCCACTCCTTCCTCCTGCTGATCCCCTTCCTCCCCCAAAGCTCTCCCTCTGTTTCATGTCTTATATATTGAAATATATATATTTGTTTATTTGTATTTATAATATTTACAGAGATAGTCTCATGTTTGTCTCCCTCTCCCATTACAAAGAGGATTTGAATGTGGAATCTTTGCCAAAAGCCAACTGTTTAAATTAAATTAATGGATATGGCAGTTGTCCTGATTTGAGTATCACACAGTATACACATATAACAAAATATGATATAATTAAAATATGTACAATTATTTTGCAATACAAAAATTAGAGAAATGAACATGAAAGAAATTAGATCACTGCAATTTTCCAAATGCCATGTGTGTGTGTGGCTCCTACTGGAGCCTCTGTAATTCTTCAGAACCAGGTTTCCTATCCATTTTCCTCCGTCTTTAAGGAATGATACTTTTAGACTATACCTGGACAGGTGGCCACATAGGTACTATTCTTACTGCATTATTTTCATGGCATGGGGTGAGTCTCTGCATTCTCTCAGAAGTTCTGCAATCCCATTTTCTCTCAACCCAGGTCTATGTAAACTTGTGGAATAGTTGGCAAAACCCTTGATTATGTCTTCACTTATAGTGTTAGTTAAATGGGGTGATGTGTGACATTCTCGTCAGAATTGCATCCCATAGACAACATATATAATCTAATGAGGGAGCTGAAGAGATGAGTCAACAGATATGAATACTTGCTGCTCTTACAGAGGACTTTGGTTCAGTTCCTGGCACCCATATGGTGGCTCACAACCATCTGTAACTCCAGTTCCATGGGGATCCTGTGTCCTCATATGGTTTCTGTGGGCAATGAAAAAGAACGTGGTCCAATATATGCATGCAAGCAAAACATATATATAAGATATACATACATTATATATAATAGAACTAAATAGATCATTTATTTAAAGAAATCTAAAAAGATCTAAAGATAACAAGTGCTAATAATTTCCGGTTTAAATTAATATGTTGAAGAGTAGGTGTATCGGCAAAACAAGTTATTTAGGTTTAAATGAAAATGTCCTCATAGGCTCCAAGTACTTGGACATTTTGTCTGCAGCTGGTAAGATTGTTTTGGGAGGTCTTAGGAGGTGGGGCCTTGTAAGAGGAAGCACATCATTGGGGGAGGGCTTTGAGAATTCCCAAACCTTGTTGGATCCCCAGTTGCTCTCTGCTTACTGTGCCTGCTTGAAGGTGTCAGTGTTCTCCTTTCTGCTCTGGCTACTTCCCCCAACCTGCATCGGTTCCATGATGGGCTCTGGAACTGTAACCTCAAATAAACTCTTCCTTTTGTAAGTTCCTTTGGTCCTGATGTTTTATCACAGCAGAAAAGTAACTAATGCAGAAGGTGGGACCAGGATCATTGTGACAGATCTGACTATGTGAGTTTTTGGAGGACTGTGGAAGGCTTTGGAAGTCTGGACTGAAAAAATCAGTAGAATGACATAAGCAGAGCTTAATGGGCCATTCTAGTAGGAGCCTGGAAGAAAGTAGTGCTGAGAGCAAAATAGTTCCAAAGGGAAATAAGGATTTAAACAGCAGTTTAAGATATTTTGGCATAGCACCTGGAGGCAGTCTGCCCACAGTCTAAGAGCTTGCCTGAGGCTAGATTGCAAAGCCATGGACTAACTTCTTTGATGAAGGAAATTTCAAGTGACAGCCTGAGGTAGAAATGGCTCTGTGGCTATTAATGTTGAATATGCTGCAGATCTACAGTGAAAAAGAACATTTGGGGCAGAAAGAAATGCACAATGTACAGTTTGGATTGAAAAAGAGCACTAGGAAGATTAACACTCCCTTCAATAAAGAGATTGAGTGAAGAAGGAGAGGCCTAGAGCTTTTCACTTAAACAATGGAAAGAGTACCTTAGGGCAAGCCCACACTCAGCTAAGCCCCCAACTTGTGAAAGGAAAATCCCCTAAATGGGTTTTCTACTCCTAGAAAACCACAGCATAGAAAAGAGGCTGGTAATGTGGATAAAGCAGTCCAGAGCCCATGCCAGGCCTGCAGCCAAACATGGCAGTGTCCACATTGTGCTGACTTTAAAGGCATGAAAGATGCAAAACAGAAGAGGTCATCAGTTGTTCCACTTCAATTCAGGGAGCCGCCAAGGTCAAGCAACGTGAAGCAGGGGTGTCCCTGCCTAAAGGAGGCCCTGATAGGCCATTGCATGAAGCTGTGAAAGTGAAACCTGGTTGCCAGTGGAGATTTCCAAGAAGACTTTGGAGATCCTAGAGCCATGAGACATCTGCTTAGAGCCTAGAGCCAAGGACAGCTACATACAGAGAGTGGTACCAGCCCAAGAGAGATAGCAAGCTGAAGGAGCTGAACTGGCTAAGACCTTTGGAAGTAAAGATCCAGAAGTTGTACATGCAGCTACTGGATTTGATGGTTGCCAGGCTGGCTTTCAGTCTTGTTTTGGTCCAGTACTTCCTCAGTTGTGGGAAGCGAGCACAGCCGAGCCAGCCAAAGATGGAGCCCTGGCTGGCTGCCAAACCTCGTGCTGTTTACTTCAACTCTTGGCTGATTGCCAAGGCTCGTGAATCCCGCTTGTTTACCCCAACTCTGAAGTATGGTGAGCCCAAAAACAGGTGCTGCCAGCCTGATGATCTTGCTACGTGCCTAATGAGCTACACTCTGCCTGGCCGCTGCACGTGTGTGAGCTCTGATTGGTCCTGGCTGGGAGGAGGGCTGTTGGAAATGCTATATGAGCAGCTGAGGTGTGTAATAGAGAACAACAGCAACAACGAGACAGCATCATAGTGAGAGAGAATGAGATAAGTGAGAATGAAGTGAGAAAGAATGAAGTGAATGAGTATGAAGTGAGAGATATAGGAGAACTACAAGAGACAGCATCATAGTGGGTGAGATAGTGAAGAGAATATGAGAGAGAATAAGAGAGAATAAAGGAAGAAAGAGAAACAGAAGCTTGAACCTCACCTTGGTGTCTGTGTCGTCTTTCCTCGGCTCTGCTGGACAGAGTCGTGGCTTGCGACAAATGGTGGCCCGTACGGGGACCCTGATGCTCGCAACACTCAGTATGCCCCCATTCCTCCTTTTTGGAATGGGAATGTATAATCAGTCTCACTCTATGTCAGAAGCATATAATTGGTCTTTTGATTTTACAGGGGCTTACAATTAAGAGATTGCCTTGAGACTCAGAAGAGACTTTGCACTCTGGACTTTTGAATAATACTGAGGCTTGTAAAGACTGTGGGGACTTATAAGGCTGGACTAAATGCATTTTGCATTTTATATGGTCATAAGCATATGGGGACCAAGGAGAAGCATATGTTTGTTTAAATGAGAATGTCTACCATAGACTACAATTATTTGTACATTTTGTCCCCAGTTGGTGGCCCTGTTTTGGGATGTCAAAAGGTGTGGACTTGCTAGAGGAAGCACATCACTGGGGGAAGGCTTTGAGAGTTCTTAAGCCTTGCTGGACACCAAGCCACTCTCTGCTTCTTGTGCATGCTTGGAGAGAGTGTCCCCCTTTCTGTTCTGGTCACCTCCTGCCAACATTCCTCCCCAAACATGATGAACTCTAATTCCTCTGGAACCATAAGCTCATATAAGCTCTTCCTTTTATAAGTTCCTTTGGTCATGGTGTTTTATCACAGCAACAAAAAAGTAACAAACACACAAGTCATTATTATTATTATTACCTATCTTGGTCATCATTTTAACCAAAGAGCTAAAATCACAAGCTCTACATTTTCTCTAAGATAGGAAGAGCTGACCAGAAAGGAGAAACCACTTGGTACCACAGCCTCCTCCTCTATGAACTCTTGGAGTATCTGGAAAGCTAGGAGCATGAAGGCAGTAATCACTCTATTCTATCCATCATATTGTCTCACATACCTTAAAAATATAGAACACAAAATATTGAGCATAGGCAATAACAATGTATATTTATATTCCCTCACTTGTTAGTACCTCTTATTGCAATATTTATAGAAATCTCTATTCAGTGACTCACGACAAAGACTTCAAACAAGTCTTCATTAACCAAATGCAAACAAATATTTGGAAAATCCAAAAGACTTTCACAATGAGATCCACATTGCTCTATCAAGAGAAACTCATCTAGATGCAATTTAAGGTGGGTCAATGTACAGTTCTTTATTTTTCAAGCTGTAGAGTCTCTCTGTATTGAGCATTATTTTATTTTAGCAGTACAAGGAAGGAAAATTTCCAAACTTTGCAAATTCACAAATACTTGTACATAGGAAAATGGAGGCTGAAGTCTCCTATGAAGTAATGATGAATCATCAGAACTTGAACATTATATGTAGCATTGAGACAGTTATTGTTATATATTGGCATTATTGATTACATCAAATTGAGCCTTTGCTTAAACTCTGTATAAATTTTGCAGCATGTCAGTCACATGCACATTATTGTGGCTTTTGAACTAATATCTCAAAAATCTCCACATCTGTGACCTTAGCAATGGTATGTCTTCTTCTGCAATCTCTTCATGGCATCTTTGATTTCCTTGTTCCTCAGACTGTAAATCAAGGGGTTCAACATGGGAATTATCATAGTGTAAAACAAGGAAGCAAACCTGTCAAAGCTGGAGGAGCCACCTGAACTTGAACTAAAATAAACAAATACACTTGAGGCATAGAAGAGGGAAATTGCTGTCAGGTGAGAAGCACAGGTGTTGAATGCCTTGAACCTGCCTTTAGCTGATGTTATCCTCATGATGGACATGGCGATATAAACATAGGATATCATGATAAGCAATGCGTTCACTATGCCAAACAACACTGCTATTATAGCAATCAGAGCCTGGATAAAGACAGTGTCAGTGCAGGACAGAAGTAGAAGCTGGGGTATGTCACAGAAAAAGTGCCTGATGACATTAGGCCCACAGAAGTGGAGCTGCAGTAAGGAACAAATCTGAGGTAAAGAACCTGTGAATCCTGCCATATAAGAGCCCATCACCATCCAAATACAGAGGGTGGGTGACATGATGGATGTATAGAGCAGTGGTTCACAAATGGCAGCATACCTGTCATAGGCCATGGCTGTCATGAGATAACATTCACTCAGCCCCATAGTCGAGAAGAAGAAGTACTGAGCTATACAGCCCACAAAGCTGATTGTTTGCTTTTCCTGGAAGAAGTTGAAGAGCAACTTAGGGACTGTGGAGGAGACATAGCAGAGGTCTATGAAGGACAGATTACTGAGGAAGAAGTACATGGGGGTGTGGAGGTGGGAATCCATCCTTATTAAAACAATGAGGCACAGGTTGCAGGTCAGAGCTGTGATGTAGATGAGCAGGAATATGATGAAGAGCAGTGCTGTGATTCTGGGGAAATCTGAGAATCCCAGGAGGATGAATCGGGTGATCTCGGTAATATTTCCTCCTCCCTTCATTGCCTCAGTGTACCCATATCAAAAAGGGGAGAAAAGAATGCATTTCTCAATCAGATGAAACTACAGCAGCATTATTTTCATCTTATCCATCTTTCCTTCCACTGGGTATTGGTGAGGATGTAAAATCCACATCATAACAAGAGATATTTAAAACTTCAAATGGAAGATTTGAAAACAACACCATAGAAATGCTGTTATTTCTACACACACATACAAACATGGAGAAACACAAAAGTAAGTATACATAAACAGACCATACATACATTCATTAACATGTGCACACACATACATACAAAGAAATGCTGCGAGTAGAGTATATAAAGAACACATGGAAAATACAAAAAAATGTTTCAATTGACTTCTGATAATTCATTGTATACTTGATGCCTTATAATAACAAAGTTAGGTGTCTAATTTTCCAAAATAAATTTTGCTAACTTTGTATCCTGGATTGTTACTCATCTTGATTTAAAAGCTTTCTTTGAACTTTGAGAAAAAATCATTTATGGTATTTATAGTAATTTCCCCCAAATTCTTTCAAAATTTGTTTAACACAACATCTCCAAATTCACCTGGATCATCGTATCATAATTTGCAATTCTAACATATTTTGGTGAGGCACAAATGTTCCTGGTAGAGTTATGAAAGAAATCTTCCTATGGGTGCTTCATATGAGTGACTCTTAAAGGAGACAAGTACAGCCCACTCTGGATCCCAAAGACTGTCTCCATTTGGGGGCATTTTCTTCTTAGCATGGCAATCATAAGGATTTTAGTATTTTGGCATTTTAGTTCTGATCCCCCTTACTCTATATTACATTATCCCAGTGACTTCAACACAGCAAGCTACTGTAAAGTGAGGACAGCAGCAGTCCCTGAGTAGAAAGCTGCTTTGTTCTTAGAACCAACAACTCATGCATGAGCTCAGCCAGCACTCACATAGTGATTGTCCATTATATCTAGAGTGTTATAATCACCTATTGCTGACAACCACAAATGACAGCTGTCCCTCTGGAAAACAATGCCAAGACTCTAGAAACCTTAGACATCATAATCCCTGTAGACAGTGAGATACCAAAGCACCCAGACACACTGAAATCAATTGAAAAATATTTATCCTTTAGCATTTACTTGACGTTGGGTGCACAGGGTTCAGAAATAATATTAACTAATGGGCTTTGATGTAGTCAAGGCATATATCTTGGTTCTGAAATGCTCCAAATTATGTTTTTGTAGTGAAATTAAAGAATTACACACATACACACACACACACACACACACACACACACACATACACACACACACACACATAGCCCAAGCACAAACTATCCTTGAGGTGAAAGAGCTACTCAGTGACATTATCTCAGAACATTCATGAAAAGGTAAGTAATTAATGGAATAGTAATGTCAACACTGATAATTCATTATTCTTAATGAAGGCAGACACACCAAAAGAGCAAATAGACATTTCAGAAATGGATGTAAGTACTGGCAAGTTAATTGAAAGGACAAAGTTAGAATTTTATATTACTAGAAAGGATGACCTTTCATAGATAATCTCTGAGATCTGACTCACTGTAAGAAAAATATTAGAGTAATAATTAGGTATGACCTGATACAATTTTGGGATGGAGCATAGAAACCAAACAAAATGTATAGCTAGTCAAAGTGCAGAAAAAAAGAGACTGCATAATGCATGTCATTGGCTCAGACTCTTATATTAAACCTCACCCATTCAAGGCCCTGGGACCATTGCAGAAGAGGGAGCTGAAAGATTGTAAGTGCCAAGGGTGGTGTATGACTATAAGGAAGCAGAGTCTTCTGAGCTCCTGGGAACTTACTCATATGAACTTACGGTAATGGTAACAGTATGTATAAGACCCATGCAAACTCAATCAGACAAAAAGCAGCATGGAGCTGGGAAAATGGATGGGAGGCCCAACCTCAGCCAAAGAACTATTGGCAGCTGATCACTGATGGCTGAGGGAGAGCTGATCTTCTTGAAGGGAGTGATGCTAGATAGGCTGAACAGGCTCCAATGAATGAACTACAAAAAAGGGACATCTAAGTACACAGCCTTGACTTGATAGGCATGAAATCTGATGGGTGGGCTATAGGAGGTGTAGGTAAGGGAGGGGGTCTAAATGTGATTAAGATGTATGAAATCCACAAAATTCAATGAAAGGTATACATTGAAAAGACCCCTGCAAGGTCATGGAAGAATTGAAATATCTGTTATCACAGGAAAATCTACAGATTTTAT